TGTCAATTTGAACTAATAAAAGCAATAATTAAATCAAAATTACATTTAAATAGGGTACATCTACTCTGTCAGGTACTTAGTAAATGCTTGTAAAGTTTCATCTTACGACAAAAGTTGGTAAAAACCCTATTTTCAGGTGAGGATGAGCTGTCTCTCATTTCCTAAAAAGAAGAAATTGATTTCCTTTCTGCTTCCTCTCTCTGGAGAGGGATGGAGGGAGAGGATATCAGCAAGAGTGTGTGCAGAGCACCCAAACTGGCCTCATCAACACACACACAAAGGTTAACTGACTTTACCAGTACTTTTCAGGAGAATGTAATTTTAGTAGTTAGAAAATCAGGCTCTGCCACCCAATATCATTTACATGTAAATTATCATTTACAACTTATACTCAATGACCAGAAGCTGAAATGGGAATTGTGGGATATGCCCAAACAATTTCCTGGTTATTTTTAACCATATATCCTTTCTAAAAGAGAATTATAATAAGTGTTCTTTAATATAAAATCATAAACTTACAGGAAACATTATGTGTGTTTTTATTTTTGCAGCTTTTTTAAAGTGCATGTGTGACTCAAATGTGTGGCTCTAAAACATGAGCTCTGTAGATGACAATGCCTCATTGTTAAGATGTCAGACATACTGAAAAATTCTAAGTATTAGTAAGAAGAATCTGTAACTCGGGAGCCTAAGAAATGGCCTTTTATATTTTTCTATGTTTAGATGTTTAACTCCAAAGTCCCTAGCTTAGGAGAGTGGGCACAAATTGAAGTTTTATCAGTCTTCCACGTACCCTGCCTGTGTGGAACTTGCACATTGCCAGAGCAAACAGAGGGTCTCTGCAAAATATGCCAAGATGCCATTTACTCTTCTGTATGGTCCTTTCAGAACAATAGCTCTTAATGTATCAGAATTTGATCTTTAGCTTCCAACAAAGCTTGATTGTCTCATAACATCATTAAATCTTCTAATTTTACAAGTCATTTCAAGGAAAGAATAGTTTATTTATGCTCTGCTAAGGCTTTATCTTCATAATGATTAACAGAGATGGTGGTCTCTGTCCAGTAAACCCAAACTTTGGGTGAGGGTCAATAGAGCACTGCAGAAATACATATATGTGTATTTAAATATAAGTTTTGTACATTTGGAGGAAAATTCTGTATTTAAGGACTATTGTGTGCTAAGAAGAAACTAAGGACTTATATGCACTTTTATAATTTTTAAATTTATTATTTTATTCTTTTGTGTGTATGGATGCTTTGTAAGCACATTGTATGCACATCATGTGTGTGCTTGTTGCTCACATAAGTCAGAAGAGGGAATAAAATCCCCAGGGACTGGAGTTACAGATGGTTATGAGAGGCCATGTGGATATGAGGAAATAAACCTAAGACCTCTGCAAAACCAACAAATGCTCTTAGCTACTGAGCCAACTATTTAGGACCTCATATCCATTTTAATACCTTTGATGGGAAGCTAATAATGTCTGGAAATACAGATTTAGCAGCTTGTCATGAAAGGCTTCCTCTGGTTTTAATATGTTAACTCTTAAGTGTATTTTACAACTACTGACAATACATTATGAAAAAATTTAAGGATACTGACAATATTATTTGTTGACAGGCATATCTCATAGTTTTATTCACTTATAATGATAATTTTATGTTTTCATTTTATAAGTCACAGTATCTAAAATGGAAAATACAATGAATATCATTATATTTTCACAAAAAAGCAGCTTCTGCCATCATTACAGTTTTTCATTTATATTTTTTCCAACATATAGGGACAATTATAAACAGCCTTAACACTCGCAGTGCCTTATCTTAAATCACACAGGACTCACGGTCTATTTGTTTTATTCTCATCTGAGAACCATCTATTATAGCCAATTCAAATCAAATTTGAAGTTTTAACTGTGATTTCTAATGATTTCCTCATACTCAGTAACCCACTCCAAATGTATTGTCGCCTCCCCGCCATCTGTACACTAGCTCCCAACCTCTCTTTAGTCCACTGTTCACTAAACTCTGATGGTTCTAAACCTGGCGCGCAATAACTCAGATATTGTCATTGCTATGCTCAACTTTTTAATTATTACTTATTCACTACCCACCATAAAATACATAAAATATTTGTGGAAAAGAATAATACTGGGATGTTAATCCATGTTGTCTCTATCATGCTCTATAATTTGACCTCAAAGTTCTTCATGTCCTCCCAAACTTATACTTTTAAAGGTAATTCTCTGGTGAATTCATTGTTTACCTCTACTTTCTTTCTGTTAATCTAACTACAAACAATTTCTTCCTAACTAGTCCTTCAACTTGCACCTTAATTTAAATAAGAGACTTCTATTGTCAGTGTTTGTCAGTGACATTAATTTTGTTCAGGGCTGTGATGCTAGGTCTCATCAACAGAGCTATGTTGTTGCCTGTAGCTCTAATTCTCTCTCCACTCCTCTTTATTTTTCTATATTAGATTGTCTTTTCTAAAAGTGCACAAAGTATTTATCCTATTACCTGTAAGTATATCACACTGAACACTCTTTCCCAAGTCGTACGTTACACATATGCAATAATTTCCTTTTTAATTTATTTTTATTTATTTATTTCATTTTTCTTTATTAAGAAGTAATTTCTTTAGTAGCACAGTCCTCACATGATTAAATTTCATTTATTTTAGATACCAACTACAGTTTCCCCTCCCTCCCCTCCTCCGGTTCCCTCTTCCCACCTCGCATTGACTGCCCCCACCCCATCTACTCCTCCTCTGTCTCCCTTCAGAAAGGGGCAGGCCTTCCATGGGAGTCAACAAAGCATAGCATATCAAGATAAGGCAGGACCAAGCTCATCCCCCTGCATCGAAGATGGGCAAGACATCCTAGCACAGGGAACAGGTTTCTAAAAGCCAGCTCAAGCACCAGGGACATGTCCTGATCCCACTGCTAGGAGCTCCACAAACAGACCAAGCTACATAACTGTCACAAATATACAGAGGCCCTAGGTCAGTCCCATGCAGGATCCCTAGCTGTTGGTCCAGAGTCTGTGAGCTTCCATGAGCTCAGGTCAGCTGTCTTGGTGGGTTTCCTCATCATGACCTTGATTCCCCTGGCTCATACAATCCCTCCTCCCTCTCTTCATTGGGAAAGCTGGAGCTTGGCCCATTGCTTGGCTATGGATCTTTGCATCTGCTTCCATAACTGATGGCTCAATTTTAAACACTATACTTCATTTAAAACTGCAAAATTATTTCGAAGGTAGCTTCACTAATTTATACCAATACCTACACCGTATATATGTTCCACTTGCTCCAAAACCTGGTCAATACTTGATAATATCTGTCTGTAAAATGTGAACTCAATGACTTATATTAACTTAGATCTCCAATTACTGATGAAAATGAGAAATTTTTATTTGTTTATCACATTTGTCTTCTATAAAGTTGTTACTAGTTGTTTTTGTCAAATTTATTTTTTGGTGTTTTGACTCATTTTCCTGTGATGAAGATCATATATTTATGTACTCAAGAAACAAATCCTTTGTCAAGGCCTTTTTTTTCTTTCTGTGGCCTTTATGTGACTTTTGATGAGGAATAATTCCTAATATAATATAACATAATTCATAAATGTTATCTTTTAAGCCTAGTGTTATTTTTATGTCTTTACTAAGATCATCATTCCATATTTTGAGTTTATAAATGAATTCTCATTTCCTTATCACTTAAATTTTACATATTTTATATTTAAATATTAGTTTTTTTTAACAGTGGAAAGTATGAATTCAACTTTGTGATTAGCCTTTTCAGTACCTAATTATTATAATACTATTCATTAAAAAGTCTATTATGGTGACAAATTATAGTAAACACTGAAACATGATAAAGGGGTACCATAAATTTGAGGACATGCTGACCTCAGAAGACTCTCTTTAAAGCCTAACTTTCTAATTTCTTAAAAGCTTAACATTTCTTTTAAGCACAAGACTAGCAATTGTATGCATGCAGTATTATGTTTTCAGACATCTTGTCAGTCTAAGACTCTTGGTGACATTTTCAGTTCATGAAGTCAAGATGTGAACCCCAGAAATACATATCATTAAATGTATGCTGTGAAATTAATTTTATCACTTTATTTCTTCCTCAGTAAATATGATAAGCATTGTGATAACATAATGGTGGAAATTAATAGGAACAAAGCTGTATCCCATACAAATATTTATAATTGTTGAGATGTCTCAAATAATTTAAAAATCAGAAGGGATCTCATTACTTTTTTTATTACACATCTTGATTCTTCTCTCATTCAACACTTTTTCTACATCACATTATATTCCAATATGTTATATATTTTTATTTGTTTCGATTCTTTCTTAGTATCTACATTTCCCTAGTAGGGTATAAAATCCAGACAAGCAAGGGTCTAATTGTTTTTTGTATATGACAATTCCCACAGTATCTCATGTAAAGGAGATGTTTCCATACATTTTACAGAGAATGTATAAGATTTGTGTAAGAAGGAATAAAGAAGTTGCTTAGATGGTAAAGCATCTGCTACACAAACATGAAAATCTGGGTCTGAATCCTCAGAACCCACATGAAAGGACTGATGAGGTAGGAATATTCTTATAATTCCCAGCACTGGTACAAAGGGGTCTATGAAGCAAATTAGCCAGAACACTTTGTTTAACTGATGAACTTCATGTTCAGGAAGAGACCCTGTCTCAAAAAAAATAAAAGTGAAACCAAGAGAAAATATGTGGACCCAGGGTTTCCATGTATGTGTACATCTGTATTCCTGTATATGCACTTACATGCACACTAACAAGTACAAGAACCACATATAAAAATGTCACACATAGACACACAGTATAAATTATTTAATAAATAAAAATTATAAAAGGATTTGTGTAAATAAATAGAAAAAAATTAAACTTCCAAATTATAATGTTTCCAAATTGTTTATCAGTGCTATTTTAAAAACTGCTATTTTATATTTTCAGATATTAACATGGCAGGGGAACCCAAACCATACAGACCAAAGCCTGGAAACAAGAGGCCACTGTCTGCTCTTTACAGGTATGTAAGAAACACCATCCCACTATATATAAGAAATTTTTGCCACTTTATGAGACAATATGATATGCAAGTAATTAGTTTAAAACAACGATCTTTACTCTTAAATTCTATTGGTTAATCACAAACACATACACACACACACACACACACACACACACACACACACACACACGCACACACACATAAACACACACACCAAGAGGCACAGCAGATGCTTAATGTTTTCATATATAGTTATATCCCTGCCAGTCACAATCTGTGGCTGCACAAAAAATGTTTGTGAGAAACAACTTAAAAGAAGACACACTAGATCTCAACCCATGCTTTGAATGTTTCAGTACACAGTTGACTGGTCTGCTCCTGGACTCATCATGAGACAGTTTGCTTTTGAGAAAGGGCAGGGAAGAACAAAGCTGCCTACTTTGTGACATACAGGAGACAGGTGACAACACAGGAATCAAAGGACAGCTCCCAGTGGCATACCTCCAGTGACTTACCTCCTCCAACTAGACCCCACATTCTAATAGCCCGCTCCATATGAATTCAGTAGATGAATACATTTATGAAGTCGGTTTCCTCATGATCAAATCCCTTCTTAGAAGCACCACCAGCAAGAAACAACAGTTTCAACACGTGAGCTTTTTAAAGGGTCGTTCATATTCCAACCACAGCCATAATCATTCCATGAGGCTGGACAGATTTTTCCATGGTTAAGAATGCTTGCCGCTCTCCCAGAGAATATGAGTTCTGTTGCCAACACAAGGAACAATCTGCGCTGCTGACCATCTCCCACATGCCATGTACTCTGAGTGTCTGAATGCTACTTGACATGTTTTTATTTCAGCCTTCTGTGATAGATCAAGAACTTGAGGTTACATTTCCTACTGATTTGTATCAACAAAGGCCATTAGTAAACATGATACCAGTAGTCAAGTCCACATCAGCAGACATGATCCTCCAGTATTCCTCCAACTGTAAATTGGTTCAGCTTATTTTGTTACACTGTCTATGATCCTCTCATGCCTATTTTCCCAGAATGACAAATATAGTTCTCTTATCTAGACAATCCAATTACTTTATTGTCTATCTTAGTTAGGGTTTTGATTGATGTGAAGAGACAGCATGACCACGGCAACTCTTATAAAGGAAAACGTTTAACTGGGACTGCTTTACAGGTTCAGAGGTTTAGTCCATTATCATTATGCAGGAAGCATGGTAGCACACAGACAGACATGGTGCTGGAGAAGGAACAGAGAGTTCTACATCTGGATCAGCAGGCAGCAGAAAGAGAGAGACTGGGCCTTGTAGCACGAATCTTAAAAGTTCTTATTAATAAAATCAAACCTGAGGCCAGGTATTGGGGTGAATCCTGGAAAATCAGAGAAGCAGAACAAGCCACAGCCACCTCACCTTGCCAATTCCTCAGCTGATCCTGTTTCCTCAGACTGGATGCCTCTCAGCTGAACTGTGCTGCTCAAAAGCCTCAAAGCTTAACCAGCTCTAGTTCCTGGTCCTCACACCTTATATACTTTTCTGTTTTCTGCCATCACTTCCTGGGATTAAAGGCTCTTGTTACCATGCCTGGCTGTTTCCAGTGTGGCCTTGAACTCACAGAGATCAGGATGGATCTTTGCCTCCCAAGTGATAGGATTAAAGGTGTGAGTGCCACCATTTTCTGGCCTCTATGTCTGTCTAGTGGCTGTTCTGCTCTTTGACCCAGATAAATTTATTAGGGTGCATTATATATTGGGGAACACAACATCACCTTGGGGAACACAATATCACCACAGGGCCTGACTAGGCATTTGAAACCCCAAAGCCCACCCCCAGTTACACATTTCCTCCAAGGCCACAACTCCTCCAGCAAGGCCACATGTCCTAATCCTTTCAAATAGTGCTTCCCCTTAACCTATGGGGGCGTTTGTATTCAGATTACTACGGTGTTCCAAGGTCGGCAGTGATAATTTTTCACTGTATTTTTCTTTCCTGTTTCTTTGTCAGTTCATCAGTGCCTATACCTGTATCAAAGTAGATATATTCAGGCCTTGATTGCTCTGCATGTATTATTATTAGCAAATGTAAAATGTGGTTGATCTAAGAAAGAAGACAAAAGTTATTTCATAGAACTTTCAGGTTTTTCTTTGTTTTGTTTTATTATTTTTTTTAAACAAGCACTACTGGAAAACAAAACAAAACGAAAAACTGCTCTGCAGTTGAGCCATACGTCCCACTTCATGTACTTTTGCACTTTTCTTTTTTAAGTGCTGACATTGCATCTGTCTCTCTAAAATTCACTTTACTTAGATTTAGCAAGTTGTTCCAGGCTATTGAGATCTCTATCATCCAATTTATTGGTACTCTCTCAGATATGTTTCATCATTCCACTGCAAAAGAGCTAAGAGAAGTGTTGAGCAAGGCTTCCTGTTTCACTGATATCACTTGGTTAACAGAAAATTAAGCTATATGTTTTCAGATGGACTATGCTCTGATAAGGGATGGTTAAAAGAGCCCTCAGGAGAAGGCTCCATGCTATTTTCTTGCCTTTATTCTCTAACTCTAAATATCTCTAAGTATTCCTGAACTCATGTATGTAGTCTCCTCTCCCAAACTGAAAAAAAAAAAAGATTATAAACAGATCTCATGGAAGGGCCTATTTACACTGAGGATTCCAAGTCTATCCAGTAAATATCTAGCCTAGATTTTCAAGCTATTGTGATAAAGAAATATAGCTTATTTATCTTCTTATTCTAGATGTTTCAATGTACTCAATCTGAAAATAAGTAAATAAAGATATTCAACCTCAATAAAACATTTTATACAAAATAGTAAGCAACAAAAAATATATACTGATAATTTGCCATAAAGTAATTTACATTGATAGGAAAAGGTAGGGATGAAATCATTACCCAAACACATGGCACATTTTGCACCTTGCTTGAGGCAACAACTAAGCAATGCCAATTATTTTCTGATTAGTTTCATTTTAAATGTGCACATATATAGTTGTTGCTAGTACCGAATCCTGAAAGTCGTGTATTCAATTATTGACAATGCAAGCTGGCAAGACTTTTTCTTCTTTTTTCTCTCATCTCACAGTTACTAGTGTCTGTATAATGATGTTAGTTTTCATATTTTCTCTGTTCTGGAATCGTTTTGATTTCCTTATGGAGATGAAAGCTCATGAGAAGACACTAGTGTCTTTCTAACTTATTTTTTTTTTACTACCAAGTTATGTTGAGTTGTAAATTCAAAAGATGTAGAAAAAGTTGGTTTAAGTATGCTGTACTCTACACAAGGTACATCACTGGGGAAATGTTCATTTGTCCTGTTTTCATCTATTTAAGTAAATGAAAGTTGAAGTGTGTGGAAGTTGACAGACAATAATAAGGAGAGCAGAGAGGAATGGAAGCTCAAACTGAGAAAACCCTTTTTCACTCACCCTCTCATTCCCACATAATTTTAACAGTACTGTACTTTCACAGAGAAAACATTTCCACAGTCATTATTCATCTACTCAACACACAACTCCTGCAGTCTGAGATTATATGCTTTGCTACACACATAAGAAATCTAAGTTTCAAAGACAATAATACTTTTTTTTTTCCAATGCAAGGTAGGAGGATTAGTAGCTGAACTCTGGTCCTCAACTTCTAAGTGTGGCGACCTTGTCACTAGAACACAGCTTCTCACCTTCACTTACCTGTTAGCACCTGTACAAAAACAGGCAATACATAACACAGCCTTTCTAGTCACCAACACCAGCACTCAGTCATACCTGCCTGTGAATATAATGCCAGCAGTTGAAAGAGTAATGACTGAGTACTAAATACGTCATAAGAACAACTGGCATCTTCTTGTGCAATGACGAGATCTTAGCTTCCAGTTATCTATCATGCTGATTTTCATGCTTCTTTCCTTCCTTTCCTTTCTCTTGCTTTCTTCCCTACTGGACATTTGACTCAGGAACCTTTACATGTTGTGCCACTTTACTGCTTCTCTTTCACTGTTTTATTTTATTTTTAAACAACATGTTGCCAAATAAGTTGCCAAAGCTGGCCTTGAAATCATGCACATGCAGGTCTTGAATTTCTGATTCTCCTTCCTCAGTCTTCTAACTAGCTGGCTTACAATGCTAATATAATGAGGCCAGGCTAGGATTTTCTTGATCATAAAAGGTTCTGTAGTGGAGGTGAAATCACTTGCTTCATTTGGAAGAGATGTCAGCTTGGAAATGGCACACTAAGTATTTCCTAATGTTTGAAATTTTGAGTCTATTTATTTATCTTCCATGAAATAGCATAGTTCTATTTGTGCATCCATTTACTAACACACGTACCTTAATACAACCACAGAACACTTACTTACTATACTTACAGAGGTCAAAAGGACTTCTGTTACAGAAAATGCAAAACCACAGAGTGAGAAGAAAACACAATGGGGTAAAAGTGCTGTAGCTGGAGAGCTTCTCTCCAGGTCCTACCAAGTCCCGGCAGTCCGACAGCCCACTTATAAAATAAACACACAGACGCTTATATTATTTACAAACTGTATGGCCATGGAAGGCTTCTTGCTAACTGTTCTTATATCTTAAATTAATCCATTTCCATAAAGCTATACCTTGCCACGTGGCTCGTGGCTTACCGGCATCTTCACATGCTGCTTGTCATGGCGGCGGCTGGCAGGTCTCTCCCTCTCAGCCTTCCACTTTCCAGAACTCTCCTCTCTCCTTGTCCTGCCTATACTTCCTGCCTGGCCACTGTCCAATCAGAGTTTTATTTATTGACCAATCAGAGCATTTGACATACAGACCATCCCACAGCAAAGTGTGTTGGGTATATATTTAAAGTAAGTTTTTCGTTTACTATATGACTTTAAATTGATGTGTCTCTGTGACTACACTGTCTGGGCCTGTGCCTGATACATAATAAAAACTTCTTCACCCCCATCTACTTTGTCACTGTCAATCTGCCACAGTCTGCTTTTCTCTCTAAATACCCGTT